CCTCATGATCCTGCACAACCAGATCACGGGCATCGGCCGCGACGACTTTGCCACCACCTACTTCCTGGAGGAGCTGAACCTCAGCTACAACCGCATCACCAGCCCGCAGGTGCACCGCGACGCCTTCCGCAAGCTGCGCCTGCTGCGCTCGCTGGACATGTCTGGCAACCGGCTGCACACACTGCCGCCGGGGCTGCAACCGGCTGCGCAGCCGGGCTTTGGGTCCCAGTGCCTGGGCCGACCTTGCCCATCTGCAGGTAAAAGGGGAGGGCGGGGGACTGGGCCATGAGGGAGGTACCTGCTGGGGAGGCCAGGCCTTAGGAAGTGGGGTGGGTGGGGGCGGGGCCATGCAGAGAGTATGGCTGCCATGCCCGGTACCGAGTGAAGGGCCAGATACAGCGGGTGAGGCAGGCAGAGCTCACTACCTGCAGGTACAGGCTTGAGGAGGGCTGTGGGAGTAAGGGGAGGTCATGGCTACAGGCAGAGGCCCATGGCTCAGGAGAGTCAAGCTCACCCACCCACAGGCCAGGAACATGTGCCTAGAGAAGGCCGCACTGGGGGGAGGGCAGCAAGGCCGTGAGGTGGGCTCCAGAGGCTGGGGGAGCCTACTTGAGGTGTTCTGAGCAGAGGGTCTGGCTGTTGTGGCCATGGTCGGAGTCAGGCAGGATGTCTGGCCCTAAGAATTGAGCTTATAATGAAACCCCCCAACTTAATGAGGGGCCGAAAGGGAACCTCATTAGAGAAACCTGGGAGGCAGGGCCAAGGTGCTGCCAGGACCCCCTGGGGGCTTCAGGGCGGTGCCAGGGTGTCCTCTGTGCCCCAGATGTCCCAGGGCTTGCTCCTCCCTCTCTCTCAGGGTTACGCTCACATGTCACCTCCTTGGGAGGTCTTTCACGCCTACCTCCTTCCTCTGCTTTGTTTTTCTTCATAACCCTCATCCCTCCCAGGCATTAGGTCATCTGTTTGCTTTCTTTTCTTTTCTTTTTTTAAGACACATTTATTCAGCATCATGATCAGGCTATTACATTTAGCAATCAACAGCATGGGTGCAAAATAAAAAATCTACATTAAAACCCTTGGTTGGAATGCTTTACACTTTCCACAGATCAGAAACTAAAATAACCTGTTATACAATTAGTCACAAATACAGTCCTCGAGGTTTTTTTCCCCCCATTCACATGAGTATTGTCTAACACATGTCTTCTTTGTAGCAGCTAGGCCCTGCCACCACTGTGCTTGGCTGTTGTAACCTGTAGCTTCCCTGTCACTTCTCTGGCTCTCCTCTCCTACTAAGCTTTGTTTCCTGGCAGTAATTAAAACCTTCTGCCACTGCCATAGCTACTGCTGCTGCTGGAACCGCCATAGCCACCTTGGTTTCGTGGTTTGGCAAAGTATTGACCTCCACCACCATAAGGGCCAGAGCTTCTGCCTCCAAAGTTTCCTCCTTTCATAGGCCCAAAATTTGAAGATTGATTGTTGTAATTGCCAAAATCATTGTAGCTTCCACCACCTCCAAAATTGCTTCCATCATTACCAAATCCATTATAGCCATCCCCACTGCCACAATATCCACCGCCACCACGGCTGCCACCAAAGCCACCTCGACCACTGAAGTTTCCTCCATGACCAAAGTTGTCGTTTCCACCAAAACCACCTCCACGACCACCTCCGAAGTTTCCAGAACCACTTCGACCTCTTTGGCTGGACGAAGCACTAGCCATCTCTTGCTTAGATAGAGCTTTCCTTACTTCACAGTTGTGGCCATTCACAGTATGGTATTTCTGAATGACAATCTTGTCTACAGAGTCATGGTCATCAAAGGTTATAAAAGCAAAGCCTCTCTTTTTGCCACTGCCTCGGTCAGTCATGATTTCAATCACTTCTATTTTCCCA